TCCATGATAGATTTTTTTGAAAATTTGTTTTTTTTTTTTTAATCCATATTATTCAAAGAGAAAACGAGAGAGATGATGATTCCGAGGCCACCCTATCCCAACCATATTATTCACATATCGAGTCCCAACAGCAACAGTGTAGGGATGAGCACGAAATACTGTAAATTAAATGCTGAACGGCGGTTCATGCAGGGAAAGAACATATCAATATTTGCATATTCATTCAAAAACATGAAAATTCTTAATGGAGTACCCTCATTTTTTATTGAATTCCTAAAAACCAATATTTATAATGAATTTTAATAATTTTTTCGGATTTTTTTGAAGCTTTATTCTGACCGATTCACCCGATTCCGATCCGGATCGCCGATTCGCCGATCCGGATCGGTTTTTTAAAAGCCCGATCCGGGTCACCGATCCGGTTTTTAAACCATTGCTTACACCTATAAAGTAAAAGACATTCCCACCTCAAAGTAATTATTTTGCACCACCACCTTGTCCTTTTCATGTAAATTATTTCAGGAATTCCCCTCCTTTTTCTCTTTCTAAACCGCCATTATTAAATCCCTCCTCCATTACCAGGTAGAAATTCCTGCCCTGAAAGATTAGAACACAGCTCCAGACGAATCCAATTGCTTGAAAAATGGGTAATTAGAACTCTGAATTGATCTCAGAGAAACCAACTTCCGAAATTCTCTCTCTATAGGAATGGTGGGCTCAAATATTTTCTCTCTTAGGCGAATATGGATGATTTTCTTGGTTCTTAGCAGGTTTTGGGGTTGAACATCGCATCCTGAAAAAGCTCCTCTCTTCTTGTTGATTATACACTTCTGTTATTTATTACCCACAACTACAGATCAGCCTTCACCTTGGTCCATGCCAGAATCAATAATCTTGAATAGTAGCTGAGTAAAATCGAGTGCTGCACTTTCCATGGGTTCTTGTCATAATTTACCAAAAAACCCACCATCCAAATCCTGTCTTTGTGTTTTGTTTTCTTGTCCACTAATCATGAGGAAATTTTCAAACCAACTGAAACAAAAAACAAGTCAACTGAAAACACTTGGTTTCCAAAAAAATTCAGAACTTGGGAAAGGGGCTGGGATTATGGTGGTAGCAACTCCATACCCTAGCCACCACGTCGTGGTTCTATTCCCCTGACACCAACCCACTAACACATTAAAAAAAAAAAAAAAACCCTAAACTATTTGAAAAAACGTGTAGGGGCACGTCTTCCCCACTGAATTACTCAAAAATAAATAAATAAATTCAGAACTCTATTTATGCATAAGATGGTTGATTCTCATATTTCTTAACTGGTTCTCTTTATGTAGATATATGTAAGTTCTTTTTTCTTTTCTTTACTCAGAAAGCATGAAAAATGATACTCCATGAAATTCTAGAGAATAGGATTTTTAGCTCTTTAGAAGAATGTAACAGTGATTTCGTTTTCATGTATATAAAGCTGCTTTGTCAATAAGATATTGTTAACATGGCACAATAGCCCCATTTATTGTTAAAAAAAGTAAAAATAAAAATAAAAGAATAAATTCTATTTTTGTTTCTCTTGTTTTACTCCTGTGTGTGTGTTTGCACATGAAGTCCATGGATATATTGTTACTAAAATCCTCTCCCCTGCTGTGCTATACAAAAGCGTTTGAAAGCATGTTTGAAGAGAGAAACACAGAGGCCTCTCATCAACATCAACTATTACACCAGTGAGAGATATTAGAATAACAAAGTACCCAAAAACCCTAGGAACTTAAGTGGTCACATAAGCATTCATAACTCTTAACTATACATCAAAGAAACCAAACACCTCAAACAAAAACATAGGAAACACATGCACACTGCTCCATATGAAGGTTTCAGAATTCCTATATCATCTACAAAAATCAGCCTCCATTCTATACTGGTGCTAGAACATGCTCCATTTGCCCTGCAAGGCAAAGCAATGAGCAACGTGACGTCCCCCCATGCCAATGATTAGTATTCTCAAACAATTAAAAATATAAAACATTGGACATCTCCATGGAAAGCACATACTGCAACAACAAAGGTCGAGAAAAAAAAAAAAAGAAGAAGGAAGAAATGGAAAGAAAAGGACGTTAAAAAATATAGCAGCATTAACAAATTGTAAAATATAACTGTAAAACACCTCCAACAAGACATTAATACCGAAAGGAACATAACATGAATTCCAAAATGATAATAATCCAAGAGAAAAATAGAAAAATACATAAGAATGACATCAAATAAATATAATTAAGTTAAAAAACCATACTATGCATTGAAAGCTTGTTGATAATAATGTCAAGGCTTTGGAAATTCATAATTTTTCTCTTATTGCTCGGGGCATTTCTATTCTCAATATGGTATAGCAGCAACAGCTGCAACAATAGATGGGTATAACCTTTGGTACAATTTTTGCCTGTTACTACAATATTTGCTCTGGATTTCAAAAAAATAATGAAATTACCCTTTTGAAATATTCAATATCCGAATTTGTTATTCGCGCAAATTAGCTGCTTCCACAATTTTTGGTATCTCAACATCCGAAAAAGGACCTTTTTTTGGATATTGAAAATCTGAAATGGATTTCTTGGATATTAAGCATCCGGTAATTTTCATGCTAAATATGGTGCAAAAGAACCTCTTTCTCTCTACCACGAGCATCCCTCTCATCTCTTTTGAGTGTTCCCACGAGCATCTCTCTCCTACTCCAGATCTCATCTTCTCACTCTCTCTTTCTCTCTCTCTAACCCTCTCGAACGGATTCCATCTGTGGCAACTAGGATTATCTGGGATTTGTCTATGATTAAATATCAATGTTATGTGAGTTGAATATTTCTCACTCTTGCTTTATTTTAATATCTATTAATTAAATTTATTTAGATTAATGCATTGAATATTATGTGTTTGTATTGGTAATAGTTATTTGTCTTTGAACTGAACATTTTTTTTGGGAAAAGTTTATATAGAGCTGAGCCTCCAAACAATCAAATCAGAGCCTACCTCAAAAATTTGGTTGTTTTGATGCCCAAATATCCTCATGTTGATCATCAAGATGCATGGACATGAGAAAAAAATAATTTCAAGTTTTGGAAATAGTGCATCTTATAATGCATTTTTGGACCATCAATTTTCAAGATTTTCAAGTTTTTATAGATTTGCTCGATCTACACTTTTTTTAAAGCTTTAAATTTTATAATTAGAGATAAAAATATATTCTAAAGCTATCACAAAGATTTTCAATATTCAAACCACATCTCTTGACACTATTTAAAGGTAGGCTCTAATTTGATCGTTTAGAGCCTCGGCTCTATACAAACCGCACCCATTTTATTTAGGATAAATATTGGACTGAATAATTGATTTACTTAAATATTAGATTGATTTACTAGTACACAGTGTTACTCAGTTTTGCCCTATAGGCGAGGCTAACTTGCTCGAACTTATATATAAAACTAATGGTAAATTTAAGAAATTTTATAAATATATAAAGTTCTTTTATTACATGACTCGAGCTTTGAAACCCTAAATGAATCTTTAATTAGGTATTAAATAGATCCTATATTTTATGATGGCTTGTTTTATTTCTACTCCATAACTAGAATTTTGGTATTCATCTAATCCAGAAGCATTGACAATCCGCAGTGATGAGCAAGATGGATGAGGGCCATTAAGAATAGGACCCTTCAGAAGATACACAAAGAACAAAGCTGTATTCTACATAAGTAACAAGATAAGCCAATTTCCTTGGCGAACCAAAGGGCTCTTTCAATACTAAGGCTTGAATGGGAAGTAACCAACACTTAATTACCTGGCCCAGATAGATTTCAGAAGACAAGCTCTCTTTCGTGGATAAATTGTGGTAGGTCACGTTTCAACAATTATGCACCAGGTTTTTCAAAATTAATTGATGTTCCCACCTGTTTCAAGATTCTAAATGACCCGCTAAAGTTTACCTTAAGCATTTTCCTCGAGAATGACAAGAACTGTAACGGATCTGCAAGTACTCAAACAAATAGGACTGGCAAAAAATGCAAGGAAAAGTATGCTATACACAATATGCATTAAATGTGTATGGTATTAGTTCATTTCCACTGTCCATCTAATGGACTATGGAGATGAACTATTCTTCCACTTACAGAACGAAGCACTTCGCAGGAAAAAAATGGTTCGTCTCCCCACTGCTCACTGTTGTGATAAGTGGTGGAAATACATGCTGACTTTTCCATTAGAAAAGTCCTCAAGAACCATGAATACATGTGATGATGATTTCATGTCAAAAAACAATCAGTGAATGTGAGCTTCATGCACAACTATCTCAATTAATAAAGTGCTACCCATGCTTCAATTCATCGTAATGAATAAATACTAATAACATCTCAACATGTTTTCATGAAAATGATGTATACTCTGACGAGTCAAATATAAGCATAAGAATCCACAATGGGCAATTCAAATAACAATGTTCCATGAATCGGCATAGATTTCCCAGACTGGAAAAGGGAACTACCATCTCACCACATTAAAAAGAGCATCTACAAATATTTCTCCAACATTCATCAAATAATATGGATTCTTCACAAAATGAATAGTAAATTGTTTCCAAGGTCGACGATATTTTTTTTTTTTTTTTTGACAAGGTTACATAAAAATGGAACTTGAGACGTTAGGCTATGAAATCTCAGCCTCTACCGTCTTGACCCAAGCTCGATTCCTAAGGTCAACGATATCTTCGGAAAAAAAATGTACAATAAGGAATTAAAATCTAAGATTCACCAAAATGAACTTGCAATAACCTTAATAAAAATAATTGTAGAACAATAAATATTAAGTTTTAATAAAAACAAAAAAAAAACAAAATTACCTCTTGCATTTGAGTTGAACATTTTCAAATCACTCTCCAGGATCAGAGATGCGCTTGTGATCATCAGAAATTTCCGGAGAGTTTGAATCTTTGGTACTAGAAGCTAGGTAATTGTCAAACTCTTTTAAGAAGAGCTTTTCTCCCTCCTTCAAATCGCGTGTGCTCCCATAATAATGATGAGCCTTAGATACCAAAGCTTAAAAAATAAAGAACTAAAAAGTTTCAATGAAATAGAGGGACAGGAAAACAATGTAGATTAATGGATTTCAAACATGAAAATTGAACATCATCTCATTAAAGAAAAAGGTGTGAAAAATAGAAGCACTAGGGAGAAACAAAAGATAAAAAAACTTAGAAAAAAGTTGGTTCCAAAGGAAAGCAAAAGTAAAATGCATTTCAATTCAGTAATTTCTAAATGAAAATAGTATCATAAAATGCTTGAGAAAATGGAAGATTTCAAATGGGAAAAATCCAAGAAATTTTCAATAACATGAACAAAATTTAATTATAAGTCCGAAATAAATACCTTTGAGATCTGGGCTTTCAATTTCTTCAACATGAATGCCTTGAAAAATCCAAAACCATGGTAGAACAGAATCCATTGCTGTAAAAGAAGAGCTTTGTTACGATCTTCTATGGTTTTGGGTAGGGATTCTAATGGTGAACTTAATGTCTATGACCAAGCCCACAATGAGAGTTTCAGAGGTGGTGGTCATGTTTTTGGAATCATTTTCAAAAGGAAAAAAGAAAAAGAAAAACAGGTTGGGAAAAAAGAAGGAATGATCGTTTACATTCATATAGGCACAGATTGCCCAAAAACTCTCTTCTCTGTACCCTTTACTACACTTCTTGTTTTATGTTCGCCATCTCAGCAAACCTTCACAGCAAACGTTGGCAGGTCCTCTTCGGCTTCTCAAACGTATGTCCTTCTTGACCTTGCACCTCTCCCATCTCACCTCACCTCCCCTCCCCTCCCCTCCCCTCCCCTCCCCTCCTCAACCTCTTGACTATTTCTTTCTCGATCCCATTTTCCAGCTATCTCATTTTCCCCCTAAACATCTGCTTCATCTACAGCACAGCCCCCCAGAAAAAAAAAAACGAAAAAAAGGGATATTATTTTTTGGGCAAATAGGAGCTACTTCTCTACTCTCTTCCACATCCCCACAAATAACTCCCTCTCTAGGCTCCTCAAACCCAGACTCGCAGCCAGTAAGTAGAGCTTGTGGTAAGCTCTCTTGCAACTCCATCTCTTTTTCTGCTACACTTCCCTTTTCCCCCCAAAACCCCATCTCCTTTTTATTCACCACTCAATTTTTGTAGCCTTACCACCTTGTTCTATTACCCCTCTTTAAGGCCTCTTCAGACCCGAGCCTCCACCACCTCCCCAATGGCGGACAAAGCCCTGGTAAGGATCTCATGAACAACTGTAGCTAGCAGATATTTCAAATGTTCATGCTTATCACCACTCTTTGACTTCTTCCGCCCATTAGAAGTAGGCCTGCTCAACTTACACCGCAGTCAGCATTGATACTTTACCGAAGAAGCACTCCCTTCTGCTTCTACGAAAATCTTTATCTCTTTCTATTTCTCTTCTCAAAAGCAAGGCAATTGTACTCTTCGCGTCTTAGCAACACTCCAAGACAAGAACAGAAGATAAGGCTACAAACTCAAAGACCCTGACCTTAAGTTTCAGCAGCCCCAACCCATACCCCGCATGGTACACCCCACAGTTATGCAGTGCGTTACAAAGGTTTGCAATAAAAAATGGTGTTGATACGCTCAGGACGAAGACAGCAAATAATTTTTGAATCTCTTTCGTTTAGAATTGTAATGAACTTACCATGTAATTTCTTAGTCGCAATCGGCCAATGCTTACAAGGTTTTCTGAAGCTGTAGAGAAAACTTAGGTTAAGTAATAAGGAAACTAGAGAGATAAAGAAAGAGACAGTAAGAGAGAGAGAGATAGAAACCCTGAGAGAGGAAAGGCTATAAATGGGTCTTCCTTTTGAACATTAAAGCTAAGAACATACTTTTCCATGTATTCCATAAGCAAATATAAGTTTGCAGACTGTATTGACTATTGTTATTAAGTAAAATGATGAAAAACATTAAAAAATGAAAAACTGTGGATGATTAAAATGGAGAGAGAATAAATTACAACAAGCATGGAATGAAAAACTGTGGATGATTAGGATTTTATCAAGTAAAATTAGAGGTTTACTGAATGAATGGATGAAGAAACTAGGAAAAAATAAGGTGAAAAGTTCAGGGGTTACATTTAATAGAAAAATTAGGGATTGGTTTTGCAAAAAGATAAAAAATATGAACAGAGAGAGATGATAGAGAGAAAAATATAGAGATCGAGTTTTGAGATACCTTTTTCATGTTGGAAGATAGACTTTTGAGAGCGAGAGGTCACCACTTGCGGTCCAAGCAGAGGAATGAAGTTTGGAGCTGCACAGAGGGAGTGGGCTCGCTAGGGCTTATTAGTTACGGTTTTCCTTTTGGAAAATTGTTTCATGCGGGCTGGACCGCATTTCTACATGTACGGTCCAGAAAGTTTAAAGGTATAGCATGTAAGTAAGTGTTCCCTCTAAAAAGAATGGAAACCATGGTTCAAATATTTTTTTACTAGAAACATTATTTTTAAATTTATTTATTTTTTTATTTTTCGGATTATATGTCTTTAAAAATTAAATTTTAAAATTTACTTCAAAAATAAATTTTAAAAAATTTACATACAAATCATATTGGATAAATTTCAAAATAAAAACACATTTGTCCGAGACAGTTTTTTCTTTTAAGTGAAAAACAGCTGTCCGTTGATAAAAAAAATGCAGTTAGAGAGAAATGCAGCAATAGCCTTATTCTTAGGGCGGGCAGGTAGTGAGAGAAAAAGAGGTAGAGAGAGAAACACAAAAATGGCCATGGCTTCTTCTTCGGTTACGCACGGAACTTCCTTCTTCGTTGCTTCAAACCCCTCATGGGTCAAAAGCTTTGCCTAACCAGGTACACCTGCGTCAAGCCAAGCTCTCTAATGTGGGTTTTTTTCTCTCCTAGAGTTAAACCCCCCCAAAACTAAGGTTTTTTCCTTTCATCAAGTGAGAGCTTCTGCTTTCACGTCGCTATACACATACATTCTTGGAGCTGTACTTTCGTTCTCTAAATTGTTCATGGCCTCAGCCTAGGGTTTGGCCTCCAAGATTAAGGCACTTTGTATGAACCCCACATCGTACGACACAGTTTCTCCTCGAATTCTTCTGGATAATCTAGTTTGCACAGTTGGGCCTCCATTCTTCATCGCTATGAAGGACTGACCGGTTGATTATTTCAACACGCCATTAACTGAACTAATACAGTCTCTTGCTCAAAATTGAGGAATTGTTCGTATTTTTATTCTATTTGTGGTTTCGAGATCTTTTTTAGTTGGTGGTGGAATTGTTTGTGCAAAAGCATTCTTGGTCGATGCTATGAAGTTTGCACAAGTTTGTGCAAAAGCATTCTTTTTTGATATAGTTTGCACGGTTGGGGACATTGGTTCATTCCTTAACAATAGCAAAGGAAGTTATTAATGGTGCCCAGTATATTGAGAAGATAAATCAATTGGAAATATCAGATAGCTGTCTGATATCAAAGAACTAAAAAAGCCACTAAAAAATTCACATGTCCAGTATTCGATTTATAGGATAGGTGATAACCTGCAAAAAAAATAAATCCCGATGAGTACCGCACTTGTAAGTTAGGACAAACGTGAAAAATGAAGTTGATAGTAATTTATATAGGGATACTAAATTAAATAGGAAATTTGGATTAGACCTAATTTTAAAATCTTGGTTAGACCTCCTTTTTCCTTAAAATTAAGCTCTTGTGGTTTTATCTATTTATTTATTTATTTTTCCTATTTTACCTGTTGGTATGCCTTGTACTTTTTTTTTGTTTTTTTGTTTATTCCAAACACACACCCGTCCGAAGTCCAAGACTTCGGGCCACTTTGACTGTGGAAAACCAGTACAAGGTCCAAGACATCGGACTGGTTTGGTTGTGGTGGCACTGCATGCAGACCTCAGACTGCTTTGTCTGTGACGCAACCCTCCATTTGAAGAAAAAAAATGGTTACAATATCGGATCTAGAAGTAAACTAGAAAAAATAAAAAAATCATAGAAGCCGATCTTCTATATTACTTTTAACAAAAACCCTCCATTTGAAGAAAAAAAATGGTTACAATATCGGACCAAGGGGTAAACTAAAAAACATAAAACCATAGAAGCCGATCTTTTATGTAACTTTTAGAAAAACTAATTCTTTCTATATGTTCTTATGGGCCCAGTTTCTATGCGGCCAAGCCTACATGTAATCTCTAACATGGAGATCATGAATATGGAAATAAATAAATTTAAAAATTTAAAAATATTAATTAAAATAAGAAAACATTTGGACTGTTATTTTTCATTGGTTTTAGTATTTTTCTTTGATTTTAGATGGAACACCTATTTGCATCCATCTTTAACATGAATGCATGCTTTACACTTTTTGGACCACACATGTAGTGAGGCGGTCCATCCTTCATTTGTTCATCTTTAAGTAAGAAAACCCTAATATCCTTGTATTCTAGAGAGGTGTGGCCTTGCACCACACATTCTTTCGCCAATCATCACCCTAACTTAAACCCTTGAGTAATTTATATACTGACAACAAAAATAGGAAGAAAAAAAAACAAAATGCGCCAATTTTGAGCAAAAAGTACACTAAGTCGGTCAACCCGTATTTTTTTTTTTTTCTTTTCAAAATTACCTCTCAAGGACGCCATACTTAAAACTTTTTTTTTTTTTTAGAATTTTTTTGTTAGTATGGCAGTGTCCTTGTGTAAGGGGCAGTACTTAGTCTAGAAGGTAGTCAGAGGTTGACATCCTCAGACTGCCTTATTTCTTAGCACACAAATGAGCTAATGTGGTCCGTGGAGGCCAACCTCAAACCACCCTGAAGAGCAACATAGAAGGTGGTCTGAAAATGGGTAGCTTGGATTGTTTTTGAATACTTAACAAATTCAATCTTTGCGGTCCGAAGATGTCAACCTTGGACTGCTTCTGAATATTTAACAAAGTCAGTCTTAGCTATTTGAGGATGACAACCTCGAACCACTTTAAATAACACAACATAATATCGGACCGATTGGCACTACCCCCAACATTAGGGCACAATCCTACTATTGAAAGAAAAAAAAAAAAAAAAAATCCTAAACTATATGAGGATGGTACTTTAACCCACGAAGATTTTGAGAAAGTTGGGTTACCTGTGAACCAAGAGACAAAATTTCTTTAAAGCTCATGACACAATACGAAGCTAATTATGTCACATGTTTTATTAGCCTTGAAATGTTAGGAGGCAGGAAATTTTCTAGGGGCGTGTTTGCCTCTTAGAAGATGTGGAACTCACGACTTCTATTATCTCCCATAGAAGCAATGTCTTTCTATTTTTAGAGGCCGGTTGGATACCTAGAAATATATTATCTATGAAACTTATTACTCGTGTAATACATTATCTGTAAATGGATTGTTACTGTTTGGGTAGTATTTGGATGCAACTTGAGAAATATGTGGCTACTGTTTCGCTATGGAAGAAATATGGGAAATGTTGAACTATGTGGCTACTGTTTTGCTATGGAAAAAATATGAGAAATGCATTACCAACATTTTACTAGCACTTGCCTATAAACTATCAATTCTTTTTTTTTTTGTCACAAAAGTCCACTGAAATGCATAATTAAAGTTATCATCACATCATTCCAAAATTATTTTATAATAATAACATCGTCACCATTCCAAAAAGATTTTCTAATAATAACTTGTACCATTCTAAAGTAATCATCACACCGTTTTTTATTTATTTTGCATGCAATTATTTTCTAATAATAACATCATCACCATTCCAATTTTTTTTTCTAATAATAACTTGTATCATTTTAAAGTAATCATCACACAGTTTCTTATTTATTTTACATGCCGTTGGCACTTACATGGAATCACATGTCTTCTAACATAATTAGACTTTGGTTTTAACATGATGAGTCATTGGAATAATATGATTGTAATAACATATATTTATTGTGATAAGCCTTATTTTTATTTTATTTTATTTGAGGTACAAGTTAAAAATTGGGAAGAAGTTTGATTAGTAAATTAGAAGATTTTGTAATTGCAGTAGAAAATTTTAAAGTATTGGAGGAAACTAAAGAGGTATCCTATGTCAATTGAGCTTTTACTAATCTCTTATGAGGATTATGCTATATAATTTTTTTTTATTATAATTGTATTGTGTAATTTCTTATGTTGAGTGAATTTTTTTATTATATTTGTGCAGTGTAATTTCTCATTGATTAGATATGCTAAGGCGAATGGATATGATGAGGAGAGAGAGAATGGAAAAAGTGCAGATGAGAGTATAAGACGGCTAAAAATATATATATAAGAAGAAAGGGTTTAACGAGAGAGGGAGCATATTATGCAAACCAGTTATTAAGGTTCAAGAGAGAGAGACGAGCTTAAAAAGGAGAGAGCACCTATGAAAACTGAGTAGGTGGGTGAGAGAGCATCTATGCAAATCAAATAGGCGGGTTGGCATTTTATTAAACTCGACGCATGCAAAATATTTTAAAGATTACCCGTTAAACAGGTAATAGATTTTTCACTTTTCACCGCTCACAATGTGTTTCATGATTTTTGGGAAAATCTCCTCTAATCTCTTACCATTTTCTGACTATAAAGTGTTCGGTAGAAATGTCATATTTCCTCGTAATCGATTGTCATGTAATAAATTGGTGCCGCAAGATAATGAGGCTATGATATGTAATACCCGCCATCATCAAACACAAAAGTGATCCAGTATTACAAAGCAGCGGTTTTCAAAACCAGCACTTCCAAAATCCAAACATATGATCACCATAAGACTTTTCCTATTATAGGAAGGGGAAAATCAATGCTTTAAGAGTTTTTCTTCGAGTAAATTATGCACATGTCCCTATCATTCACATTATCCAATGTGTACCTATATTTATGTGTTTTTACATTCTTACTCTTATTTGTCACAAATTTTAAAATGACAAATTGCCTATTTTTTGAATTCTCCAGATCCAAGATCCAAAGGATAGGCATGTTCAAATGTTCGTTTTATTTTTTATATTTTTGAGTTGTCAAAATATGAAAATGTAAATTAAAGTTAATGTGTATTTACAAAATGTGAATATCCAAAATATATTAGCAATTTTTTGGATTCTTAAGATTTGAAAAATCATTTAACCCAAACATTACTACATTTTGAATACATTTTAGACTTTCAAGATCTGAATTTGCCCTTGACATATATAAAATCACGATCCCATGACCCCACTCCCAATTTATTTGTGATACATATAAATTACAAGAGGAGTGTTTTCTTTTTAAAAGAATCACAAGTCACTTTCTGGCATTGAAGATAAAAAAATGAAGCTAATTCCCATATTTTGAAAATCCAAAAAACAGAGATAGTTTTGAAACCCAAAAAAAAGGATATGAAACTAAATTTTAGAATTTGATAGGAACTTTTAGTCGAATAGCTGACTGATCCGTTGGTTAGTCTGGTTCAAAATAAAATGTCAATTTGTTGTTTGTTTTTTTTTTAACTTTTCCAAGTTTTTATACCAGTTAGATCAATTGCATTTTGATAAGTTCGACAAACTTAACAAAGTGGAATGAATCTTTTAATATACATCATGTTTTCAAACTACTCTTCATATTTTTCTTTTTTAAATCCAATCCAACTAATTCCACCAATAGTCAAATTGAAGTTTTGATTGGATTTAGGGGTGGCAACAGGTCGGATATAGATTGGGCCCATTGGACCCAGATCAAGACCCAAACTTGAATGTATTCAGATCCAGGTTTTAAACTCACACCCGACCTGTCGGATCCAAAAGTTGGACCTATATCTGTATCTGTCAGGTCCCTGGTCTGATTGGGTTCATTGGCCCTCTCACTATGAGCTTTATTTTTTGTAGCCTACAATGGTGAAAAACAAAGAACTGATTTTTAAGGGGCGAACAATTAGAGATAGAGTTATGTCTCCCAAAAATTGAGAGGAGGATGGCGATGGAGTTTAACTATTTAGAGAAAAAGGAAAAAGCCAAAAGTATTGAAACGATTTTAAGGTTGGAGATTTGGATAAACTAAAAAATCAAATCCGTACCCGTTGGGTCTGGTATAACAGGATCCGTACTCGGACCCAAGACTATCAGGCTATCCTTTAATGGACCTAGACCCTACCCAAAAATCTAGAACTTGAACCCATACCCGAATCCATGTCAAGTATACCTGGCAAGTATGGGTCGGGTCTATTGCCAACCCTAATAGGATTGAATTCCATCTGGTCCGATGGCCAGTCGAATTCTAATAAAACTGCTTTTCCTCTGTCCTCACACACAAGATGCATCGTCCGTCGTTTCCAGCCACTTCAATGGTGTTGATTACCTCAAAAGTTCCAAATAGCATTAGGGTGGCAATGGACTCGGACCTGACCTGGAACCCAAGGGGTAGACCCGATGCGGGTTCAAGGGTCAAAAAATTGGACCTGACAAGTCGGATAATATTTTTCGGGTCCCAATACATATTTAAATATATAAATATTTTAATTTTTAAGTTGGGTCGATCAGGTCCGGATCTGGCCCCTACCTAACCCAACCCATTCGGATCCGGCCCCTACCCAACCCAACACATTCCTCCCCCCGCTTCCCCTCTTAAATAGCATCGAATCAGCTTCAAAACTTAGGTTGCAATAGCAATACAACCTGTAAAGAAGAATCTCTCTCTCACTCTCTCTGCCTGAAAGCTCAATACACTGCTTTAATACACAATAGGCAGCTAGAAGATAAAATGGCAACAGCCACCCACTATTCACACATAATTTATATGAAGGTGATCCAACTAGCTCTTGCGCACAGTCGAGAGGTCCACCAAGTGACGCATGGTCGGCCGACCATGGGGGCAATTCCAAGGGGACTTCAGCTCAGCTAAATGCCGGAGTACCTATGATGCCGAGAGAAAAAACTATAAATTTCCATTTAAGATCAGCGCTGATCGGTAAACAAGAAGTTCCAAATTTCATTCATTTTGAGGGGAAATTTTAAGAAGAGATCACCATTAAATTTGACACAAATATTTAAAAAAAGTTAAATCGCACACCCAAAACTTTTTAAAGATCCGTACCAAATTTAATGATGATCTTTTGAGATAATACACACATGGGTAAAAAGAGGGTCCTATAAGATCATTACTCTTGAGAATAATGCTAAGTTATTCTCATGCCTCGTAGGCAAGGGCAAGAGCCAAACAGCAATACGGTGCTGAAAGTGTATATATATATACAGTAAAAAGCCATTCTTTTTTTATTCAACTATTCTAAAAAGTAAATTATTTATTTTACATACCCAAAAGTAATGTATGAAAGCATATACAGTACATAAAAACAATTCAATCAACTATATATATAAAAAAAAAAGATTAGATTTGAGTGGACATGGCTATTTTTGCATAAAAAAGAAAAAAAAAAAACTTAGATAGGGTATGGCGCTACACCCCCCCGAAAAGTCTTCGAAACCCTAACAGACCCTTTTTTTATTATGATCTAATAAAACATACCAAAATTAGGCCTACTTAAGTTAAAACATTATTAAAAAATACTCATAAGCCCATTCACTCATATTACAACATAAGAGATCCTAAATTGCCCCTAATTTTAAATAAAACACTGGAAATCTCTAAAAAATGGTAAAAACAGCAACAAACTTAAAGAAGCTCCTTTAAAAAAGTTGGTCTTCCCTTCTTAGATAACATTCCGACCTAAAGATTCAGATTATCATAGGATTGTCAAAAGGACTCATTGAGACAAAAGGCCATAAGAACTGCAATCTACCTTGATTAGTTGAATGACTGTACGGTGCATCAAAAAGTATAACATCCCTTAATGTGAAAGATATACAAGCACCCTCCTAATGGTTCGAACTACGATGGAAAAAAATGAATGGCTAGGATTGTAAGATGTTTTTTAAGTTTAATTTTTATTAGAAATTTGATTGATTTTAAATTTTGGGTATCCCTAATTTTCAATAAAAAACTCTTAAAAAAAATAAAAAAAAAATTTGTAAAAATTAAATTGACCAAAATACTCCTAAAATATATAAAGTTATATAAGTTTATTTTTTGAATTATTTTTTAAATTTTAAGGCATGTTTAATTGTGATGCACCTATAAAATTTCATGTCAACCAGTTTGTATAAAAAATATAAAAATTAAAATCCAACATACAATCATATGTCCATTCATTTTCTTCCTTTCTAATCTCATTGGGGCGCACCTATAAAAATAGTAAAAATAATTTTTCGATAAAATATAATGACCAAAATACCTTTTGAAAATTTCAAAGGTATTTTGGTCATTTTATTTTATTGAAAATACTTTTTTTATATTTTTCGCTAGTACGAGTTTAATAGAGGATTCGACATCCAAAATTTGGTGTTAAAATAGTTTATAGAAAAAAAAAATTAATATAGAGACATGACATTGTGATTGGGGCAATCTCAGCCCTCCATTCAAAATGGACGGTTGGACAAAGGGAAGTATATAAGTTTTATGATGTAGGGGAAGCATAGAAAGCTTGCCCATATTAAGGTGACCACATTATAAAGGATTTTATAACTGTACTCAAGAAATTTTAGATACTTATATACCCTTGTTTTAAAATACAATGTTTTTCAATAAGGGTATTTTTGGTCATTAAGAAGAGTGAGACATTATCCACAGGGGTGTAACATCACCCACATAGAGCATTAAATGCTACTAGTGTGCTCCATGTGGGTGATATCACACCCCATGTGGAAGATCTTGCATACATCCTAATGACAAAAAATACCCCTACAAAAAAATGCTCTATATACGAAATAAGGGTATATAAGTATCCAAAAATTTCTTGAGTACAATTATAAAATGCTTTAATGTGAGCACCCAAACATAACCCTACATAAATAATATTTGTATACATACATATATTATATGCAAATATCAAGTTGGATCAAGTCAAGGTTGACTTGGCCCGAATCTAATCTGAAAAGGTCTAGGATGGACCCAAACATAGGCCCAACCCAGATTTGGTCCAGGTCATTTGGAACTAGATCAACCCACCTTGTCCACTACTGGATTCTAGACCCAAGTGCATGTCGGCTTAACTCATCACGTTGGGGAGTCGACCTGACCCACTTGCCACTCCTCAATACAGTGAACCCAAGCTACCCAAGCTTTTCGATTTTTATATGTTTGTCCCTTCTCCTAACTGCATTTTATGATGCTTCCACAGGTTCCACAACCCTGTATAACTAAGACGAACTCTGACGTCATACTTGGCTTGATATTCATCGCTCAAGTAGATGGAGGGTAAAATTACACCTATTTTTAATTCAATTTCAAAGGATATATATTTTGAGTTTAATTTTAGGATTTATTTTTAGGACTTTCAAGTTTTTTAAGGGATTCTAAGGTTCTTTTATATTTTTATTTACTAGTCACTAGTTAATATTCACGAGTATCGTTCATAGGTACTCTTCATGGTTCACATGGATAAAATTATCACTATGAATTTGTGTTTTAGGACTTTTTTAGGTCATTTTAATTATTACACGGACATTTAATATTTTTGTATTTGAACATTAAATTATAGGGTTTTGTTAGGCTACACCACTTGTGGTCATTTGAACATTTAATGACTTTTTGTTTGGTCATTTTAAATTAAAGTGCTCAACATTTTTAGACATTTAGATACCCTTATCCTATAATATAGTAAACTTTTGTTTAAAGGTATTTTAAGTAATTAATCAAGGGTAAACTAGAAATTCCTAATAGAAACAAAAACATTTATTAACAATAGTGGGCAATGACGTCACCGATATGGTGTGTGACATCACCCACACGATGCATTAATTGTTTATAATTATGCCATTATTTTTTTATAAAAAAATCTATTCTACCCTCTAAATGACCAAAAATGCCCCTACTTGAAAAATTTTGTATTACAATTCAAAGGTATTTTAGTGTCCAAAAATGTTGAGCACTGTAAGGGTCTACACCACCAAGTGGTGTAGCCTAACAAAACCTTAAATTATAATATATAAGAGGTGTGTGGAGCCCTGAGGGAGTAATTCCATGTGACTTTTCGAAATTGAAAGAGAGAGAAAAACTTAGGCTTTCGGGATGAGGAGGAAACCCTCAGTTTCTCCAAGTCATAACTTGTGTACGGCCCGAATTTTTGCTGATTTTACTGTTCTTTAATTTTCCCTACATCAACTTGCCAAAGACCTAATTTAATTTTTTAGATACCCAAACAACCATTTAAAAAATGTGGAATACTAAAAGAATAATGAATCAATTAGCATGAGAATCAAAGTTGATTCTCTTCTGAACCTGACTCTTCATTTTTTACAGAGCTTCAATGCCTAAAGAAGTCCATACTTAGGGTTTAGATTTGGGAAAAGTTTATATAGAGCCGAGGCTCTAAACAATCAAATTAGAGCCTATCTCAAAAATTTCACTCGAAGATGTTGTTTTGATGCTCAAATATCCTCAAATTGATTATCTAGATCTGTCAATCTACACTATTTTTGAAGCTTTAAACTTTATAAATAAAGATGAAAATATATTTTAAGGCTATCACGAAGATTTCTAATATTGAAACTACATTTCTCGACACTATTTGAAGGTAGGCACTAATTTGATTGTTTAGAGCCTAGGCTCTATACAAACCGCACCCTTTAGATTTTGATCTGCTACTTTCAGAAAATCATCAAAAGAACTTCAACAAGAATGTCCAAGAGCAGAAAAAAAAGAGAAGGGCATTGGAATTTACCTTTTGCATCTCATTTTTCCTAAGAGGATCGCCAATCATGATTGAAGAACGGCAAGCACGCGAAGCTAGCATAGCACGGATCCTTGATGGACAAATAGAATTGGAATCATCTATCTTGTAACTACTGATCATTGTGCACTCATCTTGACTATCAGAAAGGGTGGCAATAAGCTCCTTGACATCTGTTTAATGGGCAGCATTGGGTATGTCACTTATTTTAACACAGGATGCTACATGATATTATAAAGAAGCACTAGCAAATTATATATAAAGGAGCTCTACCTTCAACTCCAAAAGTGATGTTCTTACTAAAGGGAACAGCCTTTAAAAGGAAATGGTTTCCAGGAGGAGCATTGAAATTTTCTACCAATGTGAAGCCATTTTTCCTGAGAAATGGAAGGATTGGAATTTTATAAATCATAAAGAAAAACCAGGCTACATATCAAAAAAAGATAAAAACCATGCCAAACATGTAGGGCTAAAATCAGAGGATCTTCAGTGACAAAGGGTATGGCGTGCATGAACTGAATATTAAAATACATGGGACACCATGCATGTAATGAGACTTAGTTAAAGATGCATCCAAACCATGAGAAGTCAATCAATTATTTACCAGGAGCCATCACACAAGATGTTATACAAACTTTGAAGAATTTATCGATGCAGAGAAAAATGGGACAATTATTATCATTACAAGCAGATGGGATGGAAAATGGAGTAAAAGAAAGAATTTGATATAAGCCTCATTTTGATATAAGCGAAAGACTTGTTTTGTTGGTAGGCACAAAAAGAATGGTATGACTGTAGATACAAAAGACATCTTGTGGAATTCAAAAAGTGGCCTGGGGTATAACAAATTCAGGTCTCTGACCGCCTCCTTCACTAAGAGTTTGGCTATAGAATTTGTACTCTCCAGGTATGTGCAATGTTGACTTGTAGGTGTAAGCATCTATTCTGTACTTCATCAAGTATGTGAGATAGTATCCATAGGTAATTTGACTCTCCTCACCCAATGTGATCATTCACAGCTAATTTGACTCTCTTGACCCATGAGATCACATTGGTGGAGTTGCCTTCCACCATCAAACAAGTCCACTCTGGGGGAATGAAGTGGATGTTGTGGAGAAGTGCTAAGGCTACCACTTCGGTACTTTAGGATTCTCTCATCCAAGTGCAATCTAAAAACTCAACACACTGGCTGGGCCTGGATTTCCTTGGGAACTGTCACCGAAATGGAGTTTGATGGTATTTGCTAGGGGTGGATTCCAATTCGAGCTGAGGCTGCTCTTAGGCTTGAAGCTCCAAGATATGGAATTCCATTAAATATTCAAATCAGTTGCCTGGATGCCCCAAAATTCCTTTCTGATCAGGGGCCCATTATATGATTGTGGCCAAAACCCAGTCCTTGAGTTGCCCAATCTCCATTGCTAACTTCTTGAAAGTCCACTTGTTTTGTCTTGTCCACAGCGATGAGATGGTTGCCAGGTTTAATCTCCACAGAATGAGTCCTTTACGCAGGATGGTGGCAAGAGCCACTGTTTAAACAGATCTTCTATAGTGTAAGGGAGCATATCCAGGAGAGACCAAATGGTGATACAAAGGAGGACCATATGTCCCTGGAGAACTCAAAGTGTAGGTGCAGATGGTTCACATTTATTTCCCAGCTTGTGGTTGATACTGAAAGATGGTTTAGTTGGGGGCTATAGTTCGGCTGAAGCAATTAGGACTTCCATGGGTTGCAGGATCATGGTTAGATTTAGGCTAAGAAAAGGTGAAAATAAGGCCCATGCCTTATAAAGAAAAGTTGGGCCGCATCTCAAATCTCACCTTAAAATTGTACTTCTGGCATTAGAAACCATCAAATTGATCATATCAACCTTAACCATTATGCATGTGTTAAAAGGGAATTTCGAGACCTAAAAATAGTATATATAGTAACAGATTATCTAGACTGTCCATTTTCAAGCATTTAAGGACCCACAAGATAAGTACCATTTTTTTGGGCCACAAGTTTCATAACCGGTGGTGGAAATAAGATTTTAGAGCCATCTAGGGGTTTCGCGTGTTGAAAATGTTATTCAAACGAGGTTTTGAGGTGAGAGTTTACTTTTTCTCACGAGGCCTAGGCTTTATAGAAACTACGCCCATTAGAATAAATTGGGTGCAAAGGGGTAGAAGTAAGTTGGAGAAGACATGGCACATGTGGGGCTGTATGGTAGGTCAGTTTTTTTTTTTTTTGGTTGCTGGTTTGGGGGGGGGGGGGTGGGGGGTGTGGTTTGGATGGGGAGTTAACCTCAACTATACATTTGCTATACTGGGGGTATTGCCAAAGGCCAGGTGCTGGGCTGATGTGGCTTGATCTGCTTCGGTGGTGGGCACTTGTCAAGTTGTCCTAGTTATCAGGACAACATAATTTCAATCATTAAATTTGAAGGTGGAACTTGCAGTGAGTGATTTTGGTGGCTTTGCTGACTTCAATTCATTCAGTCAATATCAGGGATGCTAGGAACAGTTGAATGAGCTCAGCGCACATCTGATCTATCCATAGTTCAGTTTGAATTTAGATTTTGAACCATTTGGCTTCCTTTTGAAATTGACTTCCTTGGTCCATCATACTTACTACATCTCTTGTCATGGCTTCCACTAGTGACTCAGTAGTGCGTGAGATGGCAAAGTCTGTCCACCCACTGTCTCTCCCAGAATCTTTCCACACTCAAATGTTTCTTTATCTTATTCTGGAGTTCATAGTTTTCCTCTGAACCACTCTACGTATCCATTGTTTAAAAGGTAATGTTATGGTTTGAGTTTTATGGCCGATTTCCTCAAGAGATGACTGTGGTTGAGTTATTCAAAAGGTTGTTCGGATATTGAGAGGTATTTGGGTTGTTATGTGGTTATTTCTATTGTTGAGTTGGGAGTTTGGGAACAGCCCCTTCTAAAATAATTGTTAGGGCATATTTTTTTTAGGAAAATTCACATCAAAACACCGTCACCATCCCTACAAAGAACCGCCAAGATTTTGGATGCTAGCAAGTAAAACCCAAGTCTCAAATTGTATGTCAAGAAACCACCCCACCTGGTTTTTTCAATCGAATTTGGGACAAAATATCCTTTAACAAAACTATCTCTCTCTCTCTCTCTCTTCCCATCGTCCACCACTACCTGAATTGACTGCTTAATAAGCAAACCAGAGAAGTTACTCTTTGTTAGTGAGACCAAAACCACTTTGAAACTTAATCTGTTTCCAATTTCAGCCATGGCTGCCAGTTTAGGGTTTCTACTAGTTTCAAAAGCATGGATGTGAGATTTAGGCTCTTTACATAGAAAATTACCAAAGTGCCCCATCTAGTTCAAGATTTCAAACCCAGAACAAATGTTTTTTGCATTGAATCTCTTGTTCCAAAATAAGCAGGGCATTTTGGTAATTTGGTCCCATCTAAATGGCCTGAGCCAAATGATGTACATACCTTGCTTGATCCAAGTTCCAAGCCTAGAACAAGAGATTTTAATGAAAAACACATGTTTTAGGTTTGGAATAACAAGCATGTGCATTATAATAATTTGGTCCACTTATGTGGCCCAAGCCAAATGATTCAAATATCCTGCTTGTTTTGAGTTCCAAACCTGGAATAAGAGATTTCATATAGAACACATATCTCCCGGTTTGGACTTGGGAACAAACAGGGGCACCTTGGTAATTTGGCTCCCCTTAAGTGGCCCGAGCCAAGTGCGGAAACTATCCTACTTCATACAAGTTCAGAACCTAGAGCAAGATATTTTGATAGAAAAGCCTGGAGCAAGTGGGCAGTGTTTATGTTTTGGATTGGGGCAAGTTAGGTAAGCCAAATTACCAAAGTACCCCAGCTTGTTCCTGATTCCAAACCTGGAACAAGGTCAGTTGAGAGGTATTTAAGTGAAATGATCTTTACACAGTAATTACTTTGCTCATAAATTGGTTTAGTTAACAACCTCAGTGAGATGGTTTGACCATTTCTTTGATATTTCCCTAAAATTAGAAACAACTCCTTAAATTAGCCAACTAATAAATTCAGAAGAAGTTGTCCATATGCTGTTACCCATGAAAGTGATTTCCAGGACATCCTAACAACTTAAGCATATACCAAGGCCCTAGAAGCATTTTAAAGACTATTGAAACCCAAGATTATAAAAATACATGATAGTTTCACAAGATATGTTTCATACAATATGCCTGTTTCCATTTTAAATAAACAAATATTGTAGAGAAAACAAGTATGCATACCTGATAATGTCCATATGAATTGAAGCCGTAACTTCCTCCTCAGGAGAAAGCTCTAGTCGTATAGGTCTGCAACAACAACCTCCTTAGGGGTCAAGTGAAAAAAATACATACAAATACAAGTAGATAATTTTTATGGTTCAATATCCAATGTTATTTAATATTAGGAAATAAGAGATTAAGAATTACAAAACACAAGTCGAAATAGTTCAATCCTCACACTGGGCCTGGTTGACACCTAGCGTGTGAAAAAGGTTCCAAATGCTGGGCCGATTGTGGTACCAATTAGGGACAGTCCGATGATCAAATTGGTATAAAAGATAATAATAAACGAAATAACCAATCTAAAAAATTAAAGAAAATGTAAGAACAAGGTTGACTAGTTGATCAAGCAGCTCCAACCAATTATGACCAACTTTTTCCTAGTTTCTAGTTTTGACTATAGTTTCCAAGATCTTCCAATCAAGGGGCTGATTGTGCTCTGGAATCTCACTCATGCAGTTTGAATAAGGGAATCTCGCTCCTTAGCGATTTTTAAACCTTGGGATCTTGATCCCTGCCTAATAGGGATCTAGATCCAGAGACAGGAGATTCAGGTTCCCTAGCATTGTAGTGCAATATAGTAGTATAGCATAGCAGTATCTAACAGTGTGGTGTAGTATAGTAGTATGTACTATATAGTATCGAACACATTATATAGTTGTATATAGTAAATTTAAATATAGAAGCATATACTAGGATATTATTTTATAGTAGTGTAGAGTAGCAGAATGTGCTATAGTACTACAAAAGTTAGGTGCTCCCAGGGGGCCTCAATTTTTAACCAGATGGAGCTCGGCCCTATATAATTTATTATATTCGATCTGGATTAAGCTAGGATCAAGGCCCCATTATATTGGGATCGAGATCCCCAGATTTCGGGTGTACAGACTGTGCTTCCTACCGTAGGGAGCTTTCTGCTTGTCATGATCCCGAGAACCCATCCTGATCCTGGATTCTGATCTGATCCCAGTCTCGGTAACTATGGTTTTGACCCAGACTAGATTGTTTCATATTCTCAATCCAACTAAATGGACTGTCTGATCTGGTCCAATATTTATAACATTGATTGTGACGGTACATTTTGCGCTACACAGTTGTGACCAATTTTTTCAAATTTTCTAGTTTTGACCAGGACTGGACTAGTTTATGCCTCATTCTTAGTCCAACTAAATGGACTGTTTGGTGCAGTCTGATATTGATAACATAAATTTGTGGCAATCATTTTGAGCCACATATCACGGGATCATATTGCTCTTCCACTCTGGGTCCTAGAGAGATGCCTGGTGAAAAATAAAAACAGAAGTGGAAGCAATTTTGGAAAACCCTGACTGTTCTTTTCTAATCAACTAACAAAATTTTAACAAAGTAAATCACAAAGTAAATTATACAGGACATTCAACTCAGACAAGTACACCACCCATAGACCACTGCTTACACAAAATTGCGAAACCCTGCTATTGCAAATGCCAACAGGACAAAAGTATTTGCATAGACATGATACCATCAAATACATGAACATTTGGTGCCATGGATATTTGGTATCCTTGCAGCTTCATGCAATATAATAAAAAGAACAAAATATAATAATGTAAATTACATGATATATTGAGAAAAAATGTGATTTTGTACAGGTGTATCAGTAAAATGTAGTGCGTTTGCACTAAGCTATTGTGCGACTTGTCTATCAGTGTGTTATTGAGTTACATATATGTACATACATCATACACACAATATTTATATGTGTGTCTGTACATGTACTTCATGAAAAGTGATATTTTTTAAATAAGAATATATGATAATATCCTAACATAATAAAGATGAATATGTTTCAATGCTTAAATTATAAAAGTAATGAATAAAGGACAAACAAGAATCTTGCGTGGAAGCACTTGGATAAAATGAAATAAAAAGGTAGGAGCTCAATGGAAATTTTTGTCGAAGTTCTATACATGCTTTATTGGATCTATATTTTAAAAAATATCATATCAATAGAATTCTAGAAAAAAGCATTAAATCATTTTTTAAATAGAAATTGAAATTTCTTCCTAACCACGATGAAAGGAATGCATATTTAGATATGCACAAAACTAGAAATGATGAATAATGTAGAAGCCAAATTACAAATGTGTATTGGAAGCGGTTTAAAAAAATAAATAAGGAAGTTGAGAGCTTTTGAAATTCACAAGAATTTAAGGTAGGAAAAAATAATCTAAGATGCTTTAGTTAAAAATGTATATGATGTGTAGTAAAATTTTACACACATTATTTTGTTACAATATATGGATAGTTTGCAATTGGGAAAAGTTTATATAGAGCCGAGGATCTAAACAATCAAATTTGAACCTATCTCAAAAATTTCACTAGAAGAGGTTGTTTTGATGTTCAAATATCTTTAAATTGATCATCTCGACATCAAGAAGCATGGCCATGAGAAAAAAATAGATTTCAAGTTTTGGAAATAGTGCATTTTGTAACGCATTTTTTGACTGCCGATTTTCAAGATTTCCAAATTTTCATAGATCTGTCGACCTACACTATTTTTTAAGCTTTATACTTTATAAATAAATATAAAAAGATATTTTAAGGCTATCACAAAGATTTCAAATATTAAAACCACATTTCTCGATACTATTTGAAGGTAGGCTCTAATTTGATCGTTTAGACCCTAGGCTCTATACAAACCGCATCCTTTGCAATATTGAACATGGTACAAGATATTGTACATCATATGGTACACGAATTATTTATACACTAAAATACTATTAATATCTCCAAAAGAAATGATGAAATTTGCAAAAAGATTCCCATTTTATTATCAAAATTTTAAAATAACATGTATCCTTTATATTTTACGCTCAGGCCACACTTTTTAGTAGTGTACTTGTATTTTAATTTTATTTTCTCTTCCATACTTTGGATTGAGCTCAAATTGGGGAGTTGATACTTGTTGTCATCTCACATTTGTAAAAAATACCAAAAATATATTTTGAAATAAATAAAATGAACAAAATACACCTAAAATTTTGAAATTTGTACGGGTATGTTGGTTACTTTATTTAGCTTAATTATATTTTTTTAATATTTTTTACAAGTGCATTATGGCGAGGAGTATGAATGCCCAAAATTTGAGCTTGAATGGATATGTCAAAAAAAGAATAGAATTGAAATACACTATTCACCATAAAAAAGTGGGGCTTAAGTGTAAAATATAGAGTATATGGGAACATCTATAAATCTTGAAAATTAAAAAGTACTTTTCCTGTTAATTTCACAATGAAATGTGCATGCATAATAACATGTTGCTAATCATACTTCTAACCAACATTACACTCATACAGGATATCATTTGTGAAAATTCAAGAGCGACCATATCATTGCCAATGTACTTTACATGTGAAAAAGGAAGAGTGCAATAAGATTCTTATGCAACATTATTAATGAATAATCCAAACTCCACACGATGCATCCCATAAATGGCAGGTCAATATGCACAATGAAGTGCTTTTACTCAAGGGAATTCAATGTCTTACAGTACATTAGAAAGAGAAAGAAAAAAAAGTCCTGTGATAAGGCATATAATGCAAAATACTGTAACATCATACTCACTTAAGTAGAGGCTGTTGGTTCAAGATAGTTGAATGTGAAAGTCGCTCAAAATTGTATTTCTCATCGGCAGCATGCTGTAAGTTAAGCAAAGAAGTTGAGAAAGTTGCATGCATTGAATATAAGGACAAGAAAATACAAATCACGAGCAAGCATGTACTGATCAAGACATTCTGTACCAGTACAATCCTGATATAGCAAGGAAAACAGTGCATACAGATTAAACAGTGCACACTCAAATGGACTTATTCTTATATGGTCCTTTTTTCTTTCTGATTCCACGGGGCGGAAGGGTATTTTGTTCTCACCTGATCAATAATAAATAGGTCTTGATCAAGCCTCCCGATGATGAATCCAAGATTAAACTGCCCAATAACCTGAAAAACAAGGTCCATTGTCAGCTAACGATACATAAACATGGCAGAATCACATTACTCGAGCACATATGTTACAGTGTAGAAACTGATCAAAACAGTGTAGAAACTGATCAAAACCTATGTTAACTCCATGATATGTGGGTGATACACTAAAACTCAGGCAAATTCCCATCTTTATCCCAACAGTCCAAAGCTGGAACACAACACTCAGTCAATAGTCACTAAGAAATGGAACAGCCAACGCCAAGGAATTTGTGCCACAACCAGTGGCAAGGACCCATAACCAACCATGGGCTTGTAATAGCCTCGCTAGAAGAAATACACCTCCCATTGCTGGAGACTTAGCAGAACTCATTTTAAGAGAAGACCCATCGAAATGAGCACACATCTATGTTGGGATATAGCACATTTTTTAATACTTCCACATCATAGTTACAAAATCATGCATGTCGAAAATTACAATTGGTGGGGTCTTTTTTAATATTTAATACTTTTGATATTGAAGACATATAAGAGTACATTTTGGGTCATAAGCTGAAACCTGGCCATTTTGGTCATAGTATCTGAGTGCATTTATCATCCTTTTAAGAAGAACATGAAAAGTTTGACAAACTTTATGTGAAGCTTTTGTTGATTTCTCGTATCGTAGCATCATAGAAGAGTACCACAATGAGACTGGAATAGACATTCTGGTTCAAAGTCCAAATCCTTTCAGTCCTTTCACCAAATGCCATCGAGATATCTTTTACCTGTTTTCTGGAGCCCAGCAACACTAGTCAAACTAGTGCGAAGGGATTAAAATACAGAAAAATCAATAGTTGCTCATTAATGTTAAAACTTAAAATGCTTATATCAACTGATGTAATTTTTTGGGCAATAGTTTGCTCTTCATGAAATTGTAGAAAACCACAGAATTTATATAGAGGTGACCTAGGGAAAGGCTTGTGACTATGAAGCACGGATCTTTCTCAAAATTCTGACAGAAAGTATAGGTTATTGACCAATATATGCAAAGGAGCCGAGCTTGTTTTACTGGAGGGTGTTTTTCATCATACTGAGAGTCCAAATATCCAAGACAGGCAAAACCCATAACTTTTAGCAAGCAGATTGGAAAGCAACAAATCAAATGCTATATATCAAAACAAAGAGTAGCTAAGGCAAGGACCATGGGATATTTGGTTTTTGGACTACTATGTTGCATTTTGCTTGATACATAATTCCATGTTTATATGTCTAATTAACCATCATGATTTGTATATCCCTATTCATGAAAAAATCAGAAAACCACCTAATTGAGGTCTGCCGGGTTCTTCATATTGTGTTTTCCATGGTCCTCAAGCACTTATTGTAGAATGCTTTCCATAACTAGTAAAAAGCCAAAGACTTAATTTTCTCTAGTTTTCTAAAGCTGTTTGTTTCAAGGATAATACCGTGAACTCATTTTTTTGCCATGGGAAACAAAATAAGCAGAAAAGAAAATTCAGCAGTTACAAATATATTAAATATAAAACACTTTAATATACTCATTTATCAAGAAAATCCAGCGACCTGCATCCTTCCAAAATCTGCTTTGTTAAAGGACCTTTCCAATTCAGTGGTTGCGGCAACTAGAGCCTTCTCTTTAGCCTCATCACTTTGCACGTCAGAACTGGTCTCTAAGGTTGCTGCATTATAGCACCTGATGCAGACCTATCAAAAGTCAAATTTTCAAACCAATGAAAAGAAAATACTCTTCTATGGGCATATTCAATTGTAAATCATATTAGTAAGACTAACAACACTAAACTATCTTATGTAATTTCTCTTATTGACAAAAAAGCTGCAGTCCAATACAACTAACATTTTCGTTGACTTGCATTTGGAAGTGGAACCCGCTTTCAAAAGCCTCTGGCATCTCTTTGCTCTAAGGGCATTGATATCAAATTCCATCACATAGCATCTCTCAGAATCTCCATTTGGTGTTCTAATATCCACAGCCACACTACAAATGGTAGGTTGTACAGATGCTTTAACAAAATCTCCTGAAACATTTGTTAGCTTTTCACATTGCAAAGCTTTTGAATCAAGAGCCTCATCCTGCAAACCAGTCCCTTGAATTTGCATAATTTCCTGGAAAATTATAAAAACAGACCACAGGCAAAATGCAGGATAAGAAATGTAAACACTATACAGACGTTAAGGACTCCTAGGTATAAATAACTATTGCTTCATTTGTGGGAGCCCTAAGTACTAAAAGCTAAAAGATAAAAAACACTTTGCCCATTTACTTCAGTGAATCACATATCCCAGATTGGGAATGTTGATACCTCTTGACATTCTTCATCAGAAGCCTCATCAGCATCATAAACGGGTTTCTTCAGCTGATTCAATGCATGGAAACAGTCATGACGCTCCAACACATCTTGCTTTACTTTTACAGTTTCCAAATTATCTTCTTCAGTTGATACCTCTTGACAATCATCATTGGAAACATTGTCTGCATCAGAAACAGGATTCTTTGGTTGATTCAATGTATGGAAACGGTCATGATGCTCCAAACCATCTTGCTTTACTTTTACAGTTTCCAAACTATCTTCTTCAGCAACTTCATTCAAAGCCTCAAGTAAGTTGTTGCTCTTGTAAGGTTTCGAGAACACAGTACTTGATCTCATTTCCAAAGTGGTTTTCCTCACTTTACAGGTACTTGTTCCTTTTCTCAGGACAGGCTCTTCAGACAACAACATGGCACTGCTTTCATGGTTCCTCTTATTTACAGTTACAAACTTGGTAAGCTTAGATTGAACAGCATTAGATTGACAAGGATATACTAAATCGTCTACCAATCTTTTCACAAGAGATTCATCATTCTTACCATCTATCACATCTCTAGAAGAACAATTGCTGACAAGTATAGAGTCCATTGACTTGGAACCTGGAGACACTGGGGACAAAGTATCACCCCCATATATTTCATGTCCAGAGGAACTTGATATCTGATTCACTTCCATTTTGCATAGGGTCTTTTCTTTCTCAGAAGAGTCAAGAACTTCTTCTTTGAGAAACTTTCTACTACTAGGTGTGTCTACCAATATCTCCTGGCAACAAGCAGTTTCTTCCTGGATATCATTGAGTTCAGCATGCATTTGATTACCAGATTCTGGTTTGCACTCTGGAATCTTGTTAACTAAATAGCTGTGGTGAACCGGGGAGTAGATTTTCTCCAGTGATTTTCTCAACGCGAGCATAAGTGCTCCTTCTTCAGTAAAGAAAATCTTTCTTTTGTCAGGAGTGACATTCACATCATACTCCGAAGTTGGTACGATGAAATTCATAATGGCAACAGGAAATTGCCGGGAATTGGAGCTTTTGTAGAATTCATTGACAAGTTTGCTCACTTTAGGCATGTCCACTGGTCGACCATTTACATAGAAGAACTGTCTATCCCCCATGGAACGTCCACTACCACAACCAGGCTTTGACAGGAAGCCCTCAACTTGGACATTGTCAGAAACATCCAAATTCAAAGGCTCCAAGCATGAAAACACTTTAATCCCAAATATTGTTATAATATTATCTTTCAAAGAACCGCTTCCTTGAGTTTTTAGCACAACAGACTTGTGATTCTTTGCAGTTGTGTTGGTACAAACCAATCGAACTCCTTTGGAAATGAGCGCATATGCCTGAAAAGACAATGGAACAATGAAGTAAACCAGATAGGAGGATAACTTCAGTATATACACTCATAAAACCATCATTGAAGGGCTCAACCAATGGAAGAAAAACTGGTAACATGGAAAAAAGTTGTGGGTTCTAAATACAGTAATCTGACATATGAGAGGGCACCAACAGCATATATTTGTAAACAATAAATGCCCAATAAACTACACTAAAAGGGCTCAGTTTTTCACAACTAGCAGCAATTTTCCCAGGTATAGAAAAAAATTATAAAGGAGCAGATAGATTAGAAAAGCGCAAATGGTAGATGGTATGTCATATAAATCTGAATCTCCTAGAAAAACAAGGAGAAAGGTCATTTTACATGTAACAAAGAGATCAGCTTTCCATATTCACGGCGGATATTACGACTGAATTCCTTACTTCTTACTGGCAAAGTAGAGAATAACTTTTCAACAGTAACAGTTGTACCAACTTGCCGTGCTATTTTCCTTTCAGATGCTATCAAACCTGAATGGTCAAATGTCAGGTGTGTTCCAACCGGATCATTCTTTGTTCTTGTTTCAATACTAAGGTCTCCTAGTGCACAAAGAGAACTCAGTGCCTCTCCTCTGAAGCCAAAAGATGTTAAAGACTGAAGGTCAGAAAAATCTGCTATTTTAGAAGTGTGATACTTAAGAGTGAGACCCTGCAAAAGTAACTTATTCTGATCAGTAAACAATATATGAACAAGGCAATTGGCATTGCACTAGGTCACACTCCTAATTCTAAAGCAAGAAACAAGTATATCTACTTGTGATACAATAAAGGGTGGAAATAACCATGAGGAGCTTAGTCCAAGGCCTAGAAAAGATATCATTATAAAGGATGGCAAACTTCATATTGAACATGCCACCAAAACAGAAAATTATTTATGCAAAGAAAGAGTCAAACAACGCAGTAGAAGAAAAGGCAAGTTATTATATACTTTAGATGTGAATGAGTGCACTTTAGAAGACTGAGAAGCACCTTATAGTCTCTTTATGTAAAGATGCATGTGCTACATTGGTCTATGATGAAACAAAATGTACAAGTTAAAAAAAACTAAACAAAACAAAAAAACCAAAAAAAAAAAAATAGGTGTTTGTGGTATCTACCTGAAAATTATTAGGTGAGACACCACATCCATTATCGCTGACTTTAAAGTATTCTTCACCATATTCTTTCAAACTTATCTCAATACTGCTTGCACCGGCATCCAAGCTGTTCTCAACTAACTCCTTTACTGCAGATGAAAGATCTAGAATAACTTGTCCCGAACAAATTTTGTGAATTGCGCCCTTATTAATAGGTTTGATGGCTGGTAAATCAACCATCCTTTCCAATTCAGACACTAAGCATTCAATTCAAACCTGTGGAAACAAAGCAAAGTTAGCAACTATTGAGACCAATAAAGTAACATCCATGTTTTCACGATTTTGCAGATTTTCACAGCCTACTCAAAGTAAAAAAGTACCAGAAAAATGTACTAACAAAGAAGAACACGAACATGATATCCACCTGCCAAAAAAATAGGAGACAAAAATCTGCCAACAAATATTTCACTTCCTATTCTTATGTACCAAATTGTAACATAGCATTCAATGTGCTCTATCAGCATTGTATTGACTCATACCTCTCCTAATTCCTAAATGATCAAAGTGCTCAGTAATTTTATTGTCGCACCATTCAATTCAATTGTTTCCTTAACACCCAGATGTTACAGGAGAGAAACAATCATGTCTTGAAATCATGAATCATGGAAGCCAGTTCACTTAAATAAAAGTTTAAAGAGGGAGAGAATTCTATTTGTAGCAATTGCTTTACCTACGTTTTACCAGCACCTCCCAAACAGTCAAATGTCATCTAGGGATAGTCGGGTACGCTGTTCCCAAGCCCAAACAATTTGAAGGCAACACATTCCAACTGTCTGTTGCTGACATCAGACGGTCAGGGAGATGCAAGAAAACTGTCGGAAATCGAAATGACAACATAGTATACAAAGCCATTGGAACAAATACATCTTATATTGGACTGCTCCAACCAATGTTTATTCTCCTTGTGCTCTGTAAACAACCAATATTAACTTCAAACCAATCTGTGTAAAATTAATTGAATCAGCTAGTACAGAAAAAACAATGCAAAAATTCACATTTTAGAGAGTGAGTTGGAAGACTTTGAAAACCCATAGCATTTCAGGAGCTTTCACGTTGTTATAAATTGAAGCTTAGTACGAAGCTTAGAAACCACAACCAGGAAACAAACGAATTAAATCCATTCTGTAATCGTCAGGGTCAATTAGTCGACGTAATCGGATAGTCGATTAGTCAACCTAATCCAATACAAACTTTAAAGCCACAATCCATCGCTGCTATACAGTAAAATGTAGGGCATAAAACACTCTAAAGCAAGCTTAGAATTGGCCATACTTGTAGCTCAATTTTACAGAAAAAAAAAAAAAAGAAGGAAAAGGTAACATTCGCTTCTCTTCAAACTCAGAAAGAGGAAAAACCTCCAAAAATTCAATTAGCATTCAAAATTTGAGGACTAGCCCACATCTCCAAATGAAATTTACTGTTGTAAAGAAAAAAACAAAGTTTCAACAAAATGTCTCTGTACCATGATAATTTAGAAGTAAAATAGAGTAAAAGTATCAGAAAAATAAATAAGAGAAGGAACTTACACAGAAGAGAACAATAATTTTTATTTCAGAATTCCGACATTTAAAATTTGGAGGATGAGAATATTTAGGGCATGGCTTGTAGAAGCTGTCTCTTCCTCCCGCCTCGTGTAAGCGCGCGAATTCTCCCACTATTGCCTCTTTTTTTAGTACAAACATGACGATTAATAACAGAAGCAAGTATATAAAACTAGTAAGATCCGCTTCTTCCGTTTGGTGCTACGGCCAATTGGGGGGAAATTTCATAAATGTTTAACATAAATTAGTATAAATAAATTAAATATTTACATATAAAATATATACATATAATAAAAAAAATAGTATAGCTATATCTTTGTTGGCCAAAGCATACCTAAATTAGCCTGAATCCGACGAAGTGGCAACCACCATGCTTCGTTTATTTTCGGTTTATGCCTAAAATCCAAAGGCTTCATAAGCGAAAAGAATCCGAAAAGTATAAATCAGAACGGCGAACCCGAATTCACATAGCCAACATCAATTAATTGAAAAAAAACTATGAAGATGATGATATAAAACCAATATGATGTTTCCCTCAGCTCTAACCACAAAGACAGCCCACTTGGACTGTGCTTCTCCTTCTCTCACGCGGCACACAAGTCGAACTTGGAAGCGGGGTTCATGGTAGGGTCCAGGTCTGGGTCCAACCTACACCATATCGACTCGGATTGAGTTAGGGTCATTGAACGGACCATGCATATATGTGTACCATACGTAAATTATCTATGAAATTTAAAGTTCTAAGGGGATGTTTGATAACAAGAAGTTAGGAAAGTAAGAAGGAACTTCTCCCTTTACTGTAACTTACAAAGTAAAGAAGTTCCCCCTAGAACTTCCATATTCCTTTGTGCTTAAGATAGAAAAGCTCAATCTAAAATGATGGAACTTAAAATAGGAACTTGTTTCTGCAAACCCTATTCTGCCTCTCCTTATATATTTATATTTATGTTATATTATATAATTATAAAATAATTTATTATATTATATATTATATATAATACAAATAGATATTAATAAAATTATATTATATTACGTTATATATAATATATTTATTTGAATTATAATTATACATTTGCATTATATATATATATATATATATATATATATATATATAG